TTGGACGTGATCAAGAGAAGGTGCAGTAACGTACTTCACTGGCATATCTCTTTGGGTACTTTCAGCAAACAGTTGGGCTTTGCTGCTTTCAAGACATGTAGCTTCTTCAGCGATCATTTCAACTGGGGCATCTGATTGCGCCTTTGCAAATACTGTTGGGCAACGGCTATTTGACATTTCATAGAACACCTGGAACTCCTCAGATTTTCTATCATCTAAATTAGGTTGCATCTCAGATGCAAGGGCTGGTGCAGCCAAAAGTTTCTTAGATTCAACACATAAAATCTCGGTAAAAGGAAATTGAGCAATCTCACATGGCACAAGCTGATCTCATTCAACGAGAGGAACGAGGAGTGCTTCATCGCATGTGAATTGGCAATGTATATCAGGTTCCTCACTCTGGGTAATTCCGTCGAACACCTTGTCTTCGATATCTGTAGAATATTCCCTAATTGTCGCCTCGTGACCTTCTGGTGATTCGAGATGCTGTTTACCAAAACGAATCCGCACCTTTGCAACAAAATGTTCCCAATCCGACAATTGCTTGTTCCGGAAAAGCCATCGGAACCACTCTAAAGCCTCACCATCTAGGTACAAAGACGCGCGTAATAACATGTTGTTTTCCAATGTACCATGGAATTTAAAGTAGCGTTCAGCCTGAGAAATCCATAACTCCGGATCCTCACCACAGAATCGTCGGAATTCCACCGGAGTAGGCTTAATCGTTGCAAGGTTTTCAACCAACTCATGTAACAATGAACGAATTTCAGCAATATCCTTCGACCATGAATCCTTCACGACCTTAATTGAATCATCGATAGTTCGAATTTTTTGGTCCTCCATAGAAGACCTATGGATGAAAGCACCAATGAAACAACCCAGATAATATACCAAACCAACTAATTGTATTAACTCAATACTAATGGGAATTACAAAGCATTTGCTAATGATAATAAGGACATTGCAATAGAAATCTAAGAAGAATGGAGATGAGGAATAGACTGATACCGAATTGGGGATGAGATAGACGCAGAGCTAACACTTTGATAACTTCAGCATAAAATGGACTACGCCTTCTACTGTATTTATAACTAATTTTCTCACGTTGCACTTTCACACACTGAGAACCTGCTTCTGCTCAAAACGGGTCCCACACATAGTTTTCCAAATTGCAAAATATGTTCTCCACCGAGTCACTCACTGAGTTCACAACAGTTGAACTGTCAGTTTGCCACCCCTAATAGTGACTACTATGCAATGATGTCAAAATTAAAATATTTACGTACATATGAATGAAGTATGTGGTGATGCTGAGCCTTCGACCCTTCGTTTTCCAAGATCGTGCCTCTTAGTATGAAATGGTACGGTTAAGATGTGTTTAGTAGGGAGGTTTTTCAATATTTTCTTGTGTTGGTCAAAATATTTAGAAATCATTTTCTTTAGGAAATTAAAATCAAGAAAATGACTTTCCCGGTGAAAGTAGAAAAACACTTTTTTTTTAATAAATGGCATTTCTCTGCTTAATCCCTTTGTCTGCATAAACAGGTACAAAAGTTAATTTGAACACAATAATCTAAAAAGATCGTAAGTTTTGAAGCTAGTTAACTTACCATCTTCCTCAACTTTTCTAGTGACCGAGGCATCCACGCCATGCTTTCCCGTTGTTTTCTCCTTCAGAGTTCAGATATATTCATTCAATTGTTAAAGAATTTGACCAAAAACTTGTCCTCAATTTTACATTTTTTTAGGCCAATTAAAGACATACTCTTCTGATCAAATACAAGTATGAACGGCAAAAGTAAATAGCTAGGATCACCTCCATGAAATATAGATAACATATAATCACATATTTTAGGCGAGTGTAAAATTTTAATCGAGTATAAAATCAATACATATCTTTTGAAGCATGATTGCCACTGCGAAACGAGCCTTTAAGCTTGAGCAAAAATCGTCTACGAGATCATTCTTCAGTTTCAATAAACCACCAACAATATTTCAATTCGTCTATTGGATCACGATCTTCACCAGTTTCACCATTAGACTATATTACCCGAATAATATTCGAAATATGTGAAATCTGTATAAGCGAATTTCTCTAAGAAAATTGTAGCTTAATTAAGACCATTTTCCAAACCTGCTAGGTTTTTCTTTTCCATCAAGAAATCGAATTGCATTTACTTCCTAGTTATTTAGGCACTACATGGACAAACAACAATAGCACTACATGGACAAACAACAACAATAATCTCAGAAGTGGTATATAGGGAGGATAATGTGTATGCAGACCTTACCTCCACCTTGTAAAGGTAGAGAGACTGTTTTGATAGACCCTCGGCTCAAAAGCATAGTTACAACATTTAGAAAAAAGAAGAAGAGAAATACGAAAATACAAAAGCCATGGAAAAATGACGCATTAACTACATCAAGATAATAAAGTAACAGACACAAAAGAAACAACAAATAATAAAAATATAGGAATAAGAAAATACGAGAATAACATAATGTTACCGGTCTGTAAAGGGAATATGCTCGACTATCTACTAGTTTCCTACCCTCATTCTCGACCTCCACACCCTCTTATCAAGGGTCATGTCATCTGTAAACTGGAGATGTATCATGTGCTGCCTAGTCACCCCCAATACTTGTTCGGCATACCTCGACCTCTCTTATACCTGTTGACACTCAGTTTTGTCTAACCATATTTAAAAGTTAACTTCTGTAGGTTTTCTAGTCGTTAATGATAGAATATAGCCCTTTTTCATATTTTAAAATCGTAATGCAATTTATTAATAATTATCTTTATTTTACAAAATACGGAAATTTTTATCATTTTTATTTATGCTATTCAAAAATTATTATTTTGTGCATTTTTTTAAATTTTAAAATAATTTATTAATAATTATCCGATTTCTCAAATATTAGGATTTTCTATCAATTTATTGTCATTTAAAAATAAAATAATTACTACAAAATTATTGTAGTCATTAGTATTTTTCAATAAATACTACAACAGAGAGTAATACAGAACCCAAAGGATGGGAATTTTTAAAAGGATTACACAAAAGATTTGTACGAAATAGCCTTAACGGAGAGCTGATTTGAATCTATTAACCAATTTTTTTTTTTTTGCCTCTCGCATGTACAACTTATTCCAAAGCACTTTTTTCAGCAGCACTGTGAAAGTGAAGACTACAACAGTCGAGTAAGAAGAAGACTCAGAATAACTAAAAGCTGAATTGCACAAAACTTTTGGGCTTATTTTTGTTTTTTTGGTAGGAAACGCGATCGTCAAAGTACGAATTCAGGGTGACTAAACCATTATTAATAATGTGTAATTACTTATGATCATGTGGTGTTGCTATTGTACTAATGTATTTCTTGCATGTATTTAAAGATACTAGGGGTCGTTTGGTTGCCGGTTAGAGTTATGCAGGTATTAGTTATACATGTATTAGTTATGCAGGGATTAGTTATGCAGGGATAAGTAATGCAGGTATTAGTTATGCAGGTATTAGTTATGCAGAGATTATTTTTTTGAATGTTTGGTTTGTTGTATTAGAAATTGATATACATTATATAAATTTTAAAGTAAAATGCTTGTTTACAACTATACCCCTGACCTTCTTTTGCATTGTTTTTTCTCTCTTTCCATTTATGTAGGAAACAATTTAGTTAGGAACTTTGGGTGTTACTTTCACTTCTTCGTCATACTACTGAACTATGTGAAGTTTAGACATATTTGATTTTCACTTCTTAGTTTTGGTATTTCCATTTTCTAGTGGCTTCTCCAGTTTGCTTTTGCTAGTTTGTTCTTTAAAAATGAGAGAAGACAAGGTATATAGTTGGCAAGTGAAAGCAAGTGAAACCTGTTGACGGGTTGGCAGAGAAATAAGGAAGCCTTATGTGTAAAGTGATAGGGGTAAATTTGTCATTTCAGTATTTTATCCATGTATTACTAATACATGTATTAGTTATTCCATCTTCTACCCCGCATAAAATAATACACAGATTGACTCATAACTTATACATGTATTATTTATGCATAATTGAAAAATGTCAACCAAACATGGTATTAGTTATGCAGAATTTTATACAAAATAACTATTGCCTACCAAACATGGTATAAGTTATGTTACCCTTATACATGAATAACCTTTCTTCTAACCAGCTACCAAACGACCTCTTAGTTTTGCAGTCAACATCAGAATGCTACTTAATATTATGATCTTTACCAACATGTTTTTATTTTTGTCTTAGGTATTGCAATATTGCAATTGTTTTGTCTGCACACGATATCATTAATATATATTCGTCTTTCTACTCATAGTTTGGTGAAGCTTTTCTTTTCTTTTGAAAAAGTAATAATAATCATAGTAAATATTTTGTGATTTTTTAATTTTTGGGGGCCTAAAACAGAAGCTTAGAGGCCTTAACCTTGAGCTGACCATGTATATAGAGACTAAACATAGAGAATAAGAATTTTATTTTTGTACAATTTACTTTGAGTTTGAATTGCTACTGATATAAGCAAAAGGAATTGATTTAATTTTTTTTTTATTATACTGCTTATGCTTTCATTATTCAGCATCATCAACTTATATGTTTGATTCTTATTTTTTTACTTTGGAAATAAGATCTGACATATTCTATAAGTAAGTGAATAATATAAATTAAGAAAATCATGATATTAAAGAAAGTTAAAAGAAATAAAGGTTGATAATTAAAGGGTCAAAAAAGACATCTAAAAGATTAAACTGAGACAAGAGGGAAGTATTTCTTTTTTCAAAGTTAAAGAGAAAATTTAATTTCTTGTGCAAAATTGAAGAGGAATAATAGTATTATTAATTTCAAAATTCTAATAATACCCGTATAAAGTGTAAAATTAATATTTTGCTAACAAATTCATTTTCTATACACACTATACCTAAAATTACAACATATATCATACCGAATTAACTGCCCTTAAATATTGTTGTAGTATCATTGACATGATCATACGGATTTAACAAGGATTTAATATTCAGAACCAACAATATGTCATGGAACAGCCTATATTTTTACATATTCACGATCTAGGAAACCTATTTTCTTTAATGTAGTAATTAATTTAAAGTGATTACAAATGGAAATGTTTATAATATTTTACAAAGAAGGGACACTCTTGGTTCCATTGATTCCTGGTTGGGCTGACAGTGGCGGCGCGTGGAATTATGTTTAGTAACTCAGCGGCAGCGCGTGGGAAAGTATTGGCTTTTTCTCGTTCTTTGTCGCAAGCGCAGATAAAAATGGCGCGTTTACGGTTCGAAGCGTCCATTAATACTAAGCAACAGTCAAAGAAAGAGAACAAAGCTCGTCCGAATATAGAAAAATTCGGAGGAATTCGACTTGGTAAAATTTCAAAAGTCTTAGATATTTGTAATCTTATTCTCGATTACAACTGCTGCATGCTTTTAGTAATGATTGATAATAATATTTACATATACTTTCAGTGAATAATCTGTTTTATTATTAAATGCCAAAATTTATGAGTTTTCCTTGACACAAAGCAAGTCGTTACCTAAATAAATAATGGTCTGTTGAAAAAAGGAAAAAAAGGAAAGAATTTAAGCGAGAGAATTTTTATTCGATTTAGGCTACAAAATTTCAAACCACTCCCAAAAAGTTGTCCAAATGGATTTTTTATTTCTATTATGATGTAATGGACCTAAATAGAGTGGAGTGGAACTATAGATCTGTATAGCTGATGATTGATAATAGGTATAATTCGCTTATGAAGAATAAGATATATATTTTTGATTGGTAAGAAGAATTAAATATTTACTCAGGCAATGATGCTTTTGTTTAGGCTGATTTCATATCGTAATTTCAAATTTAGTATTGAATTTTCTTAGGTTTGTAGTATTGGAGTGACTCTAAACATTGCATTCTAGCAAAAATAAGACTAGGTGTTTGCACTGGAAGAGAGTTCATGCATTGTGCTAGCTTAACCATTAAAAGAAACTAGACTTAACTAAAGCTGCAATTCCGGGTAAAAGTTTTGCATTTTAAAATTGCTACGATGGTTTCCAGTCCTGTGGAACTTCTTATTTGGTTTACAAACAACTGCATAAACCATGAGTTCATCTTTCTATTCTATATCTGGTGTTGTCCCTTGACATTGATATGTCTATTATCGCCATTTTTTGTTTTCCTTTGGGCTTACATGCCAGAAACTAACCCTCTAATGCGACCTTTGGATGAAAAGTTATTAATTTAATTGCGTCAATGTAATAGTAAGCTGGTTACAAGCTGTAAAAGATCTAAGATTTCAAATCAGTTGTAGATTTTGTTGCCTTTAGCTGCATGTAGGGGGGAATATCTGGTCTTGCCAGTAAGTTACTCATCGAATTTGATCCAATTTTGATGTCTAACATTCTTGTTGACCTATCTGTAAAAAGACTCGACCTTTGAGTTCGCAAGCAGCTATAAAATGCCTTCTCAAGTTTTTCCCCAAAGGACAATTGGACTGAGGCACTTTGGTAGTTTCTCTAAGTGGGATACATCAATCTATAATTTTAAATGGTGAACTTCTTGCATCTTTCGACAAAACCTACACTTTTCTTTTTTCTCTTTTTTATTCTTTTTGTCTTTTCTTAAACATCAAATTGTTGTCAGAATATCATAGGTGGCGATGGTAACAAGTTTTAGAGAGATTCATTAAATGCTCTTTATTAAAAAAAGATTCGTTAAAGGTTATTGCGCTTGTCTCTTTCTCCGGCGGTTATAGCCATGGTTTACAGTCATGGATGAGTCTGAAGCTAAAGCATAGCTGTCAACACCTACCAAATGTTGAATAAAATGTAATATGGGTATAGATTCATCAAATCTTCAAAAAAATTCTAATCCCTAGTTGTAGCTTTGACGAGATATCCCCTATTTTTCATTAAGTCAGAGGATTAAGTCATGTTAAGATAGAAATCAAATCTTTTAGGAAGAGTGAAGCTTTTGAAATTGGCGTAGCTCTGTTTACCTCTTTATGCCGTGGCCAAACGTCATCCTGACCATTTTATAGGAAATGAGTCTTACCCGGTTGTAGCACCTTTTCTCATGTATCCTTCTGTTGTTTCTGTCTAGATTTATTAGATATCACTTCAAATTTACTTACAGAATTAAAAAGCTTCTCATTCTCATCCAAGTTCTTTGTCCTTTAAGCTTTCCGTCTTGATTTCCTCACAGGTTATAGAGATCATTTTTTCTACCATTTGTTCATTGAGTCAAACAGCTTGCAAATTCTGTCACTTCCTCTGGTGACTTTTTTCACCTGAACAGTCATTGATTTTTCACTCTCTTTCGATTGAATTTGTACTTACGATTTTTGGAACTTTGGATGCTTACCCAAGTTTAAGTTGCTTGAGAAATGGCTTCTCAAACCACCTAGCCTCTCTGGCTGCTAAAAGTGATTGTTTCAAGAGATCTTCTGGGTGGTGAAGGCCACGGCTCTCAGTCCCCCTTACCTACAGTCCTTTTAGTTACAGTTTGGTCTTGTGTACACGATTTTGGATACTGATCTGAGATCATTGTCTTTGAACGGTTTTATTTCCTGGGATGTCATAAATTTTTAAAATTCAGCCAATGCTAATGCCATCTCTTGATTCTTTTGGCATTGCTACGATCAGCACTGATTATTGATATTGTTACAAAGGTTCAATTAGAAACTCCTGGCATGGAGACTTCTAATGATTGTTTCTCGTCAATATCTTTCACTTCCTTGGTTTCACCTTCCTGTTCTATGTCAAGTCAATACCAACTTCCGATTGGGTACAAATGCCGGCCCACGGCCAATAGAGCTATCCAGGACATACTATCTGTGTTGACCCCAACAATAGATTCTGATCAAACTAGGATGGGGATTTTCAATTATGTGGCGAGGTTAATTAGAGAGAACTTTGGAGTTGAGGTTAGCTAGACTATATTTTCACATGTCTATATTTGTTATCTGTTACTTCTTTTTTTCATCTTGATGCTGTATGGGATGGCTTGCGCCCACCTTGGTTAGTCAACCGGGCAGCCCCAATCCACAAGCAAGCCATGGCCCTGAAGCTTTTTATATTTGTCATAATAGAGAACAGAAAATGTTGTGCGAATAGCGTGTTTCGCTGGGTTACATTCAGTTCCGTGGAATTTCTGTTCTTTATACAAACACTCAGCACCAATAGTTTCTCTTCTTTATTTGTTTTCACGAGAATTAAGAGTTCTCTGAACTGCATTAAGGATTATTCATTCCATTGCTATAGCAAAATCTAATTAATTCACTATTCCCCTTTATATTAACAAAGACATTGCCAAAAATGCAATATATGGTAGATTTATTAGAACTTGTTACTAAAAAATATGGGGATATTCGTCTTGGTAATGCTCCACGTTTTAAAGAATTTTTGCTGTACATTAGATTGTGCATGGCTACTAAATGATTTCTCACTGAGGTGGCATGATGGAATAAGATAGAACCTTAAATGAGAAGTCTTAGTTTAATCATGGAGCGTGTTGAAATCATCTCCTTTACAGGTTTTCCCATTCGGATCGGCCCCTCTGAAAACATACCTACCTCACGGTGATATTGATCTGACTGCCATTACGTCTCAAAATGATGATGAAGATATGGCAAAAAGTGTTTGTGATTTGCTTAAAAGAGAAGAATTAAAAGCTGGTGACTTTCTGGTTGAGGATGTCCACTACATTCCTGCTCAGGTGTTATTCTGAACTTGTTTTCCTCTTCTTTCGTTTATGAAGCTGAAATTGTTTGAAGACTAATTTTCTTCGTGGTCTTGCTATCTTAGAAGTATTTGTTGTCTTTTTCCTTTCTGCTGATAAACCTAGATAGCTGTATAAATGTCTTTTATTTAATAAAGGTTATGTATAAATGTATTCTTTTGTCATAATACAATTAGGATGCTAATCTGGAAGTTCTTGTGACTCTTCTTTCCGTTGCTTAGATTGTGAAGGTATCAGTGTGCTAAATGCTAAAGTCTAAGATGATGGTCGGTTTCCATCTCCTTTTCCATTTTGAATAGAATAACTATATCACTAACTGGCCAAGTATCCAGTTAGTGCTTTGATTTAAAACTTTTTGTAACATACACTGAAGGTGATGCATTAGGCTCTTGGTGAAGTTATCAGCTAGAATTTCCTGGCTAATAATCTAGTACCTTATGGTGATTGTAATTGTACCTGTTGTTATATTTAATGATTGTGAAGTTCTCCAAGCACTAGTGAATTTGTTTAGTTGGAGCTACCTTTCCCCTAGTGAAGGCATCTCAACTTCCACCAGCCGTTTGAAGTCTAAATGTCTAGTGAATTTGTTTAGTTGGAGCTACCTTTCCCCTGTGAATGATGTCATTTCCCTTTTAGATTTTATTAGCTCCCTTAGCATGGCATAATGCCTCTTTTTTTTTTTGGTCATGGCTAACTCATGTCTTATAGGTTTTTTTGTCTTTATAGAGTTAGCCAAGGACTCACACTTTTATGGCATCTTCTTGATGCATTCAATGAAACATCTTACTTCATCAAAAAAAAAAAAAGAAGTTCTCCAAGCACTAACTTACAAGAAATAAAACAAAAGGTTCTCCAGGCACTAAACATTGATGGTTCTTATTTGTTTCCTTGTAAAGAAATTAGGCTTTACAGTGTATCTAGAGCTTTTGAAGGTAGATCTTATTGTTATTTTTTATCTTACAATGATTGTGAAATACATTGTCCTCTAAGTTATCAAAAAATAAATATGAAGTCCGATATAAAAGTACATTTTCTCTCTCAATCACGTAGATGTCAATGTTATTACCTGTTTGAGAATAATCCATGGAGCAGTTGTAAGTTGCGTTCCGCTGATTACAGCTTTGCAGCAAACCTTGAGGAACATTTCTTGCTAGGTTGAGCAAATTTTGATAGAACAGACTGTTGCATGAATTCCAGCAAGGTCTATTTGTCAAAAATTTAAAGCCTGAGCGCCCACACTAATTACTTCTGGGATTGCTATCAGATATGTTACTGTATGTTTATCTTCCCTAAATTATGAAACTAAAAAAACATTTGAAGTATAATTGATTGATTGATTAATTCAAAAAGAAAAAACTCTATTTTGCTTGTGCTTTTTATTTTTGACCTTGTGGAAATGTCTTGAAAAGAAAGGCTCTTGTAAGTGGAGCTCGGGAAGAGCAGTTTTACTTCCAATCCTATCAAAGCCCCGGCGTTTAGAGGAAAGCCTAGGAAAACCTTTCAAGGGGCTGATAATAGTAAACCCTAAAAGTACTTCAAATGTGAAGCCAAAAACTAAGAAGAAATTGAATCATTACAATGCTAAATCTAGCTGTGTTTTTCTTTGAAAAGGATAAAACAACTCTTCGTAACTGCTGTTTTCATCACAATAGCCAATATCTTAGATATGGATTGGCTTTGGTAGAGACGTGTTTATAGTAATTGAAATGTGAAAATTTAGAGCAATTAGTTGAAAGGTGTCACATCAAGTTTGATATACAGATAGTTTAAATTTTGTTCGAGGGAGAAAAATTTGTTGTATAACAAAATAAGTCAAAAACTTTTTCGTTCCTACCGAAAAGGAAAGAGGATTTATTAATTGGGACGGGGTAGTATAATTCTAAGCTGATTTTTAGCTCTAGCCTCGTCAATCGAGAAGCTGAATATAAGGAAATTACATAACATAAAGAAGTCTTGAAACAACTTGGAAACAAATTATAAAAAGGGTTACCTAAAAAGCCAGATAAAGACATCTATATTTTAATCTATGAACAGATTTTCAGATTCAGCCGTCCCCTGGAAGCATCTTAGGTTCCTTTCCAGCCAAATTACCAAAATAAAAGCAAGCAAGTATTGTGATCCAAAACTTCCTCAATTCTTTACCCATTTTCCTTACTGACCAGCTTAAGAACATACTTTCACATTCTTAGACACTACCCGGTTGATGCCAGACAATCCAAAAGCATGTCCCAAAGCTGCCTTACCATCTTGTAATGAAAAAAGAAATGGTTTGTATCTTCCGCTTCCTTCTCGCACATGTAGCATCTACAACAGGTATACAGACCTCTCTTCTGTAGATTATACCGTGTGACACAAGCCACATATGCTGCAATCCAACAAAAACCTCCGACTTTAGGAGGTGCATAGTTTTTCCAGATAACATTCCAAGGCTAAGCAGTGTGGTTTCTAGGTTCTATAAAACCTCGTAGGCAGATTTCACAGAGTTCGCATCTCTTTGATGCCCCATCTTAACAAATCTGTTCTCCCAGGAGTAAGAACTTCCCCTTCCAGTTTACCCAAAAGCTGTGACACCCTAATAATCTCTCAATCTTCACGGTTTCTCCTGAAGTTTAGGTCCCAACCTGTTGATTTGTATTGAGCTACTGTACCTCCACTATTTGTAGCCAAACTATATCCAACTTATTGCATTGTATAGGGAAAAATGGCCCTTACATTGCATGTGAATTTTGGCTTCCTGCTTTTGTGGACTAAACGCCACCTCTTAATGGCTGCTTTAGTGTAGAGATCACTTTACACCTCAACGAGTAATAGCTTTTCCAGTGCTTAGTTAAGAACAATAAACTGAAATATTGATACTTACGTCCACGACAATTAATTTGTGCAAACAAGTCAGAAACTATAGGCATCAGGCAAGCTGTACAAGAAGAAGAATGCACAGTGTGTACTCAGATATATGAGTTTTACTTTGGATTGGTAGTCGGCTGGAGTTAAGTGTAAAGGAGAGAAGACTAAAGATGCCTGCTATTGGGTAAAATGCTTTTTTGTTGTATTAAATATTTATTGATGGTCCTTGCAAGCTGCCGACTTTAAGAGTACTCGGTAATTCTGTGACATACTTAAAGACGGAAGAGGTTTGGGAAAAAAATAAATAGTTCAATAATATCCTTTCTAAAACAAGAAGATCATAAGAGTTGTTTTTGTTCTCTCTCTACTTCCTGTCCTAACTATCTGTAAAGTGCAAGTCAGATAATACACAAGTTTTTAAAATCGAACTTGTAAAGATGTGTCCAGTAGATGCATCATGCAGAAAGATAGCATCACATTTCCTATTGAAGAAAAATAAAAATAAAGTACCAGTAGCATCATTGTGAGAATTTTCTATGTTAGTGCCGCCTTCTGGTTCAACCTGCGTCGATTGGGCTTTAGTCATGGCAACAAAATATAAGATACTAGTATATTTTTGGCGCAACTATTGCTAAATGCATTGTTAAGCAAGTTTACATAACAGCGGAATATATATTTTCAAGTACTATAGTTTAGTTAATTTGACACTCCAGTTTAATACATCAGACAAATTTGGTTTCTATACGAACAAAATGTTAGGGTTTAAAAATCTATTCCTCATTAAAAAAAAAAAAGAACGTGATATGCATGATGACTAGTTTTGAATATTATCTGTGCAAAGGGGATTTGAGGTAGCTGAACATTGTGTCGTACTTCTCAACTTGGTTGCATCTCTCTTATGTTTAAGCTATATTTTTTTTTACTTTTAGCACATGGTCTGTATTGAAATTAATTTATTTTGGACATTTTCTTCTTTTCCGACAACCAGTTTGGGGTCATGCCGGGTCGTTCTACTACAGAAGCTATACACTTTGTTAGGAGGTTGGTTGAACAATACAGAGATAGGAAGAAAGACCTGCACATGGTGTTTATTGACCTAGAGAAAGCATATGACAAGGTTCCTAGAGAAGTTCTCTGGAGAAGCTTGGAGGCCAAAGGTGTGTCGGTTCCCTACATTATGGAGATTAAGGACATGTATGAAGGGGCTAAGACTCGGGTTAGGACAGTAGGAGGCGACTCTGAGGATTTTCCGGTTGTTGTGGGGTTACACCAAGGTTCTGCGCTCAGTCCGTTCTTATTCGACCTGGTGATGGACGCGTTAATACACCACATTCAAGGGGATGTGCGATGGTGCATGCTATTCGCCGATGGCATAGTTCTGATTGATGAGTCGCGAGCCGGTGTTAATGAGAGGCTGGAGGTTTGGAGACAGACTCTTGAATCTAAGGGTTTCAAGCTTAGCTGGACGAAGACGGAATACCTGGAGTGTAAGCTCATCGCTGAGCCGGGGGAAGTGGGCGTGGATGTGAGGCTTGAATCACATGTCATCCCGAGTAAAGGCAGCTTCGAGTACCTTGGGTCAGTTATCCAGGGGGGAGGGGAGATCGACGATGGTGTCACACACCGTATTGGGGTAGAATGGATGAAGTGGAGGTTAGCATCTGGAGTATTGTGTGACAAGAGAGTGCCACCGATACTCAAAGGTATGTTCTATGAAGCTGTGGTTAGACCGGCCATGATGTATGGGGCTGAGTGTTGGCCTGTTAAGAACTCACATGTCCAGAAGATGAAGGTAGCAGAAACGAGGATGTTGAGGTAGATGTGCGGGCATACTAGGATGGATAAGATTAGGAATGCTGATATTCGAGAGAAGGTGCACGTGGCTCCCATTGATGACAAGATGCGGGAAGCGAGGCTCAGATGGTTCGGGCATGTACAAAGGAGAAGCCCAGATGCTCCGGTAAGGAGGTGTGAGCGGCTGGTTGTGGAGGGCACGAGAAGAGGTAGAGAGCGGCCTAAGAAGTATTGGGGGGAGGTGATCAGGCAGGATATGGCGAGGCTTCAGATTTCCGAGGACATGGCACTTGATAGGAACATGTGGAGGTCGAGTATTAGGGTTGTAGGTTAGGAGG